AAAAATTCGTTATAATAATGTACGAACATTCTGAAACCAACGATATTGACGTTTGTCAAATGCACCTTTTTGCTCAAAAAAACTCAACCGTTGAGAATTTACCCTCAACAATAAATGCGTTGAAACAGCATATCAAGCAATATATTTTTCAAAAAGGGTAATTTGTGCCAACTATGGTAGAACTTCCATACCCATCTAAATGGGAAAGGACTCCTGAAACCAATAAATGGACGCCATTATGAAACACCAAAAAAAATGAAAAAAATATCATTCGACATTTTATTAAAATTTAAATGCAAAACTTGTGGCCCAAAATGTAAATGCTTTTTGAAAAATTTAAAATGCATTAGACTGTGCTTGTGTGCAGAATATTGCAATTAATTTTAGGTGTAAATACGTAAGAGGTTACGCTAGCTTTTCTGTGAAGACGTTTTGAGTTGTTAAAATTGTTAAACAATTTACTTATACTGTATTTTTTCCCAAGATAGATTTAGACACTGTCAACTTTGAAACATAAACAATGCCGCTTATTGGTCGCAACATGTCATTCGCACGACATGCATTGTAAAACTGTATCCCCATCTTGGGAAAAAATACCCTTTATTTACTTTTATTATCTTCTAATACGTTCCTGATTTTTTCAAAATATTGTTTACCTGCATATAAATACAATAAAATAAATAAATTAGTTTAAAAGGATATAACCAAAATATACTCCTGGACAAAATTATCGCACCACTGCTTATGATGCTTATGTGCAATGGTGGTGCGATAATTTTGTCCAGGAGTACCTTAGTTATTTTTGTCACAAGTACCTAAAATGAAGTTTTTCAGGACTAATAATTGCTGTTTCCGGACGAGGCGTTAGCCGAGTCTGAACTAGCAGATGAGTCCTGAAAAACTTCGTTTAAAGGCGGTTACACACGGAGGTGGTCCGTGGACGGCTTAATACATATACGTGCATACATCAACGTGCAAACAACAACATGCATGTCGCGTTTGTACAGACGCTCGCACAAAACTGCAGTCTTGCTATTCTTGCTACAGTAATCCGAGTGTGCATACAAAATTTCTAGCGAAAAACGCGACGGTATTTTGCATACACATTGATGTTTTTGGTTGCGCGTTCATGTATGTGCGTACATGTTTTAAGACATCCACGTCCGTGTGTAACCGCCTTAAGGGCGGTTACACACGGACGTGGATGTCTTAATACATATACGTGCATACATCAACGTGCAAACAACAACGTGCATGGCGCTTTTGTACAGACGCTCGCACAAAACTGCAGTCTTGCTATTCTTGCTACAGTGTTCCAAGTGTGCATACAAAATTGCACATTCAAAAACGCGACGGTATTTTGCATACACAATGATGCTTTTGTTTGCACGTTCATGTATGTGCGTACATGTTTTCAGACATCCACGCCCGTGTGTAACCGCCTAAAGGGGATTGAATGCGCCTCGATGCCAAAATATTTTTTCCTGCGCGAAGCACCTAACGCAGTCTATCATTGTATTCTTCCCCCCCTCTTAATACTCCTTAGTGGGAATGAGATGAATGAAACAAGGAATGCATTGCGTTCTTAGTTTCAACGTAACTTTTTAGCAGTTAAAGTTATATCAAATTTCTTTTTTGCATTCGATTTATAATATAGGGAAGAATGGCGCTATCTTTTTAGAAATCCGGTAATAGAAACGAGTTCTCGAAAAATGACAAAAATGTAATTTAAACTGGAAAAAAACGAGAAAATTAATCAATTTATGGTGTCTTTTTTATTTATTTATGTGTGTTAGCAATACAATAGCACAAACCAGAATCCCAAAAATCATCTAGTTTTTTTTGTAGAAATTTACTTAATTCTTCTTGTCATTTTGCCTGTCTCTGTTATACCCGCAGCAAACCCTATGGCTCTTTCCTCCGCCTGATTTGCGATAAATTTTAAATCGCTATCATGGAGGATCCAAGGCCAACCGGCCCAACAGTAGCCCAATACAATAATTGCCATGAACCTCGCATTAGGGATGCGCAAAATTTTGAAAACATCGATGTTGACATCAAATGATACATCGAATATGCACAATCGATGTTGTAAAAACATCGGCTTGAAAATATCGATGTTTCTAAACATCGATGTTTTTGAAAATATGTTAAGAAAAAATTAAACTGTTAATAAATAGAATATCATTTTTACTTAACCTACTTTTGTATTTTTTATTTAATATACATACACGTAATAAATATACGATTTATAATGAAGAAAAAGTACATTTGAAAAAGATTCTTGGCTTAAATGATATTATGATATATAATTTATATGAATACGAGTGACAATTATATTTGAATCACAATTATTATCCAAGAATAGCAATTTTGACTATTTTTTTCTATTTCCATTTATAATTCTTGTGCAGTGTCAAAATTTGTCCTGGTTGAAAATAGTCCCTCATATGGAACCGAAGCTGCTACAACGCTCAAGTATTTTGAAGCTATCTTTGATAATCGCAGATATACACTCTTTATTTCTTCCCAATGTTCAACAAATAGATTTTCATCAAATTTTGTTAAGGGACTGAAAGTATTGGTGTAGTATTTAGGAGAAAACATGGAAAAAACATCGCAAGAAAGATCGATGTTGTCTAATAATATCGAATAAAAAAACATCGATATAAACATCGAACATCGAAATAAGAAAATCGATGTTTTTGAAACATCGATACATCGTGCGCATCCCTACCTCGCATCTTTATTAGCATTTAACTTGTTGGGAGTCGTATAGTTCGACGTGCGTTACAATATATTTTAAACGGCACATTCAATACCCTTAAGTACGTGTGACAAACACTATTTTTTGTCATACGCTTTTTAGAATTCTTCAGAACGCCAAAATTTGCAAATTTTCCTTAATTTTTGAAATCATAAAGGTGCATCCAGATAGAAAAAAAATCCTAAAAAGAAGCATTTTACCGCATTTTACGGACTTGAATGAGTTCGTAAAATAGCTGTTTTTGGGAGTGTATGACAAAAATATTTATTTTTATTCATTCCTCTTAGGCCGGAATTTCATGCATCCGTTTTTCCGACGAAATGTGTCCGAAAAATCTTCTATTTTGACATATTTTTATACGATTATGTCAGAATAGAATGTTTTTCGGACATCTTTCGTTTTTTTTTTGTATCTTCTATTTTTTTTTGTTTTCAAGCGGTTTTAATGATATTGATCAACACGTGTATTTGTGATTACCCCCCACCACATTTTTATTCACGTGAGGCCTTACCCTAAAGACATAAACGAAAATAAGATCATAGTCATTATGCAGAATTTCGTGCTCTATCGAATGGCACCAAAATGACGATTCTATCTTTTACCGATTTTGAGAAAAATAATAAAAACTAAAACAACCCACATAACAGTGAAAGAACATTCATATTCTCAGAATATTCCCTCAAAGCGCTTTTTGGAATGTTCTTTTAGGAATGTTTGAGAATATTCTAAGCGGGATTCTAAGATTGTTTCGATTGAAATATTCATTTTTGAACGTTCTATTTATGTACTAAAAATGTTGCTTCTATGCACCTACCTGAAAGATTGTGGTAAGAACCTACTTTATATAACATTATTTAAATATTGTCATACGAACATTATTATAATGTACCCTAAAAATGTTCTTTCGGCTAATATCTCTATCAAGTATTAAGAATATACCTACCAAGTTGTGCTGAGAAGTTTATGTAGGTAGGTAACCATGATAAGAATATTTTCATATTGTTCATTATCTAAAGTACCTACTCAAAAATCTTAATTGAACAATTAAACAATAATGCTCTATCTAGAATCTACTAAGAATATTATAGGTATATTCTTTTTCTTTTGTTTGGTAGGACTTCCAAGAGAGGGAGCCACGTGCTATTAAAGATCTACATCTTGCCTAGCGTTTGAATCACCTTGGAACCTGTTTCTATTAGTTGGCGTACTTACCGCGAAGAGAGCATAACAAGCTCGAAACCGGAGCTTTGGTTAAACACTTGTTTTCCAGAGAAGTTTTCCAACAACTCTTTCACTGCCTTTAATATAAAAGGACTGAAAGGAGCATTATTTGAAAGCGGAAATTAACATTCCAAGTATATCCCTAGAATCAAACAAGAATGTTATGTCTAGGATGCATATTGAGAATGATATATGTAGATATATTCTAAGAATATTTCAAACATATTGGTATAATATTCTTTTGATAACATAACTATAATGTCATAGAAACATTCTTCGAATGGGAGATTATATTTTTCAAGCATATTTTTAGAATCAAACAGGAATATATTCTTTTCAGGATGTACTTTTGAGGTGGGTCTGTTCAAAAATCTACTAATTCTGACATGTTCTTTCACTTGTGAAAAGGATTTGCTTTTACTCAAAAACCGAAGTATGAAACCCTCAAGTCACTAGGCTTAAGCCTAGTACTCATAACTGCGAAATTCGCTTTTTTTGACATTTTTTTGACAATTTGACGTTTTATGCGTGTATCAAACGTCAGATTGTCGAAGCAATGTCAAAAAAAAGCGAATTTCGCAGTTATGACGTTATGAGTACTAGGCTTTAAAGAGGGAAGAAAATAAAAATAAACAAAGATGGCAACAAAAACCATTGCGAATTTTGCATAAAGTTGAAATTTATTTAACTCTAATTTTCCACCGCAAAAAGTTGAAAATATCCGCAATATTATCGCACCCTGTCAAATTTCAAGACATTCGACCAATAGAAAAAAATCCGCAAAATAAAAGTGTGGGCACTCCCTTCCAATTCCAATGGAATTCGCTATGAGAAGTAAGCTTAAGCGAGAAACGCCCCGGACCCCGGAGCTGTTCCGGAGCTCCGTGTGAAAGGAAATAAACGAATACAACTTATGAACGCATTTGGGCTATCGGGTGCGCCGGGCGTTCATTTATGAACGTACCCCATAGACCTGCTGATACATTTTTACGTTGCGTGTTCTAATTGGTGGCGCCCATTTTCCATCGCTGTTAGCTATATTCGCCTCGCCTGCACTCACTTCAATCCAATCCCCACTTTGATAGGCAGTCCAATATAATTGAATATGATTTACAATTATTATTACAATAATTCTGTAATAGTCCATTGAATTTGTTATCTGTTTCAGGATTTTCGTTTTTTTTTCTCATTATCGAGTCAAGTTCCAGTGTTTTTTCTAAATTTCAAGTGTTACGTGTGCAGTGAGTGTTTATAGTGTTTACGACTTCACCTTGATTGTTTTCAGTGCTTTGTGGTTTTGAGTGAGAATAGTGGGCTTTGATATGAAAAAAGATTTCAAAATGCGACTATCAAAAAATGATAAAAAGGAGCTGGATAAATTTACTAAATTTCTAGCTCTAAAAGCTACAGAGGTCATCGTACAGAGTCGTTTAGGCGAAAAAGTATCTACACCTTGTAAACCCCATGCAACTGGACCCGATTGGGTAAGTGACATTGTAGCCCCTTCTGATTTTTGAGTGTAAGAGCTCTATATTCTACACATGAAATATGGATGTGTGTGACGCTAGCTGCTTGCCCCCCAAATATGATCCGCGAAGGTAGTCGAAAGTGTGAAGTGAGCTCCTTTCGTACCACAACTTTTATTGCTAATAAAAATAAAACTGAATATATTTTTCAAATAATTTAAAAACAGAATATTACTAAATTTATTTTCTAACCAACAGCAAACTTAGCAAACAACACATCCAAAAGGGCCCTGTGCCCTGTCAAAATAATATTGAGTTAGGTTAGAATCACCATTAAAATCAAGGGTGGTAGGGTTGTGTGCAATGTAGTAATGTACTATCTCAGTAGGACCGGATTTTCGATATGAAATTTTTGGGGTAGTTAGAGGGCAATAGTACTACTCAACTAACTCAACCCATCCCTCAAAGTTAAGGGACAAACGAAACTTTCGCGGTAAAAAATTATCTACTGTCGAAGGAGCTAGGTACTATCTATGTCCAGGACTGTATTTCCGATATAAAATTTTTAGGGTAGTTAGAGGGTCAATAATACTACTCAACCCACCCCTTAAAGTTGAGAGACAAAAGAAACTTTCGCGGTAAAAAATTATTCACTGTCGAAGGAGCTATGTACGATCTCAGTCCAGGACCGGATTTTCGATATAAAATGTTTAGGGTAGTTAGAGGGTCAATAGTAGGGTCCACCAAACTCAAGAATGGTACACACACGTGTCTGCGTGGAGTTCTGACGTTGAAGCCAGCGGGCACACTATTATTTTGATAATTTTTATTTGGATTTGAAATAGATCTGATTCATTTGATTTGATTGATTTATTTATTTATTTATTTATTTATTAACGTATCAACATTTACAGGTTTACAAGTGAACTTAAACTAACTAACCTAAAACAGCTCTTTTTGCACAACTCTTAAATTTTTTATGGGAAACATTAAAGAATTCTAATGACTCACAAAACATATTCACATTCGCTGATACTCTGTTAACAGGACTATACAATAAGTACCAAGAATTACAAATTGGTATATGCATCAAGGTCTGCCTATGTGTTGGATATCCAGGTATACGAAATCGAAAAGTTTCCAAACATTCTGGACTCTTGATATAGTAGTTTAGAACATTAAATGCAAAGCATATGTCATAGTATTCTCTTCTGCGAACAAGAGATGCTAAGTCTAGGTGTAACATAGTCTGATCATTATCAAGTTCAATACCATTGCAAAAAAGTTTATATTTAGCTATTTTATAAATTTAAGTTGAACATTTTCAAGTCTATTTATATGAACCTGATAATATGGCGACCAAATTATGTTTGAATATTCAAGGATGGATCGAACCAGCGATGTATACAACACCTTCAGAGCAAACACACTCCTAAAGTCTTTACTGGTTCTTTTGATAAAACCTAATATTCTATTAGCCCTACCTACTATACTCAAAGTGCTCGATGAACGTAAGTTTAGTGTCCAAGTAAACGCCAAGGTCCTTAACAACAAATACCTCAGCAAGAGCAACATGATTAATGGAATATTCCACAGGTATAGTATTCATCAAGCGGGTGAAGCGCATAAAGCAGCATTTGTCGATATTAAGTGACATGTCGTTGAGATTACACCAATCGTATACAATGTCCAGATCATTTTGCAGAAGAAGAATATCACGAGTTGATGATAATTCCCGAAATATCTTTAGATCTGATTCATTTGATTTGATTTTCATTTGATTTGATTTGATTTGATTTGATTACCTACATACAGATGGGAAAGAGCGGCGAATTCGTGGTTCAAGATTAATTTGATAGACATAGGCTGGCCGCACCAATGCCTCATCAATGTATTTTGAACATAATTATTATATAAATGCGGAAGCTCAATAATATAATATTATTTCTTTAATTGGTTCACAAACAGCAAAAAAATATTCTTTTCTACCCGCAAAATTATGTAAACACACAGGCTGGAGCATGCTCATGCACTCGGCCGCGTTAATTGGCGTGACGCAGGCGATCTGTATCTATGCGTCGGAGTGCTGGTCCCCTCGGCTTCGTCACAGAATATTGTAGACGGCAAGTATACGTACTTACGCATCTGTATTAGTTGATCTGTGATAGTACCTAGCTCCTTCGACAGTAAATAATTTTTTACCGTGAATGAAAGTTTCGTTTGTCCCTCAGTTTTGAGGGGTGGGTTGAGTAGTACTATTGACCCTCTAACTACCCTGAAAATTTTATATTGAAAATCTGGTCCTGGACTGAGATAGTACATTAACATTACACACAACCCTACCTCCCTTGATTTAAATGGTGATGGTGATTCTAACCTAACTCGATCTTATTTCGATTGATGCTTGCTATTGTTATAATTGGTGTTTTAATTTATTATAATTGTAATTAGTATTTTGCCATTATTGCATTATCACTTTTTTCTCATTCTTTTTTATTATTTTTTTTTCTTCAAATTAACTTCAATTTGTAATTACTGTTCATGTTATTTACTACCAATTTATCTCCCACATTTATATTTATAAAATTTCCTGTAAGTGGGTTTAAGTACCTGTTGGAAATAAAGACTATTTATTTATTTATTTATTGTTGTTGTAACAGTTTACATTTTTATAGCACAAAGCGTACAATAATATATATAATAATATACTACAAAATATGAAAACTTCTACTTTAGTGCACAATGGTACTTAAAGTACTGTGTGTGCACTAATTTTCTTATACAAGTAGCTATGAGGTTTTTATATTATGCCTTATATAATAAAAAGTAACAGGACGTAAATCATCTACTTATGACTAATTTCAATACTGTAACAGTGGTAGTTAATGTAAAAATAACAACAGAGATAAGTTTATGTGTAGATAGTATCTAATCTAGACTACATAATTAATTACATAATTACTTTGAAGGATCCATTGTCTTATTTCTTTTTTGCATTTGGAGTATGGCTTTAATTTGATATTATTTGGAAGGCAATTAAAAATTTTTGGACCTAGACAGTAAATATGATTTTGGAAAATTTGAAAAATATATTCAGTTTTATTTCTATTAAGCAATAAAAGTTGTCGTTTGCAAGGAGCAAGGAGCTCACTTCACACTTTCGACAACGTGCTCGGATTCATATTGCGGCAAGGAGCTAGCATCACACATCACTAATTAGCCCAGGGTCGGTCTGATGCTTTACACATTGAAATTGAAATTGAAATTGAAATTTCAACCAAATACCAATATCTTAAAGGTATCATCATTGCAAGAAAAAAATTTAATATAAAGAGGATTGTATGTCTGTGATAGCAGATATAGCTCATCAAAGTAGATGGGTCCTGCTATGCTATGCATAGGAAATATCCGAGGACATATCCCTACGTAGATTTTCTTGAATATCTTGAAAAATACTAATCCGATTTTGACCTTTTTGGAGTTTGATACCTACAAACGGACCCCAAAAACGTCAAAATTGGATTAGTGTTTTTTGAGATATTCAAGAAAATCTACGAAGGGATATTCCCTCTGCATAGCATAGCAGGACCCACATACTTTGATGAGCTATATCTGCTATCACAGACATACGATCATCTTTATATTTCAAATCAGGGATCGACCGATACAGTTTTTTTTTTAAAAAACCGATATTGCCGATACCGATACGATATGGCTTTATAGAAGGCCGATACCGATATAAGGCCGATATATTGCATCAGCAGAATGCTCGATGTTTTCCGTTCTGACATTTCAAATCTCGCACCGCACCTTTTCCTTTAGTTTGAATGTTTTATTTATTTGTTTTCTCCTAGTTTTAATATTGTTTGTTAGTTCAGATAGGCAGAAAGTTTAGTTTTTTTTTTTTTAACAAATAAATAATTTTGAATTTGAGTTTAGATAAGCAGAATGTTAAGTTTTTTTTGTATATAAATACCTAATTAATTTAATAGTTATTTATACGTGATGTATACAAAATTTTATCCCATTTTGTGGAAATTTAAAAAATTAAGTACAAGGAAAAATGCCGGGAGTGAGTTAAAAATATTTTAATATTATATTAATAATAATATTTTAAATCACTGAGGTTTTAGATTTTTAGTTGGGCAGAGTGACTTAAAATGCCGAGAGTGAGTTAAAATGTTTTTAAATCACTGAGGTGATAAACGTCTACTTACCTTTATTGTCATGCGTTCAATAATGTTATTTTTAAAAGTCAAAATGGGATAATATAAATTTATGAAAAAGAATTTCTAATATTGACTTTTTTCTTAGTCACTCCCATATGTACGAACCACAATTATTAGCTCTTTTAAGCTTCAGAAAAGCCTTAGTGATGATTACTGATCTTTTAAAATATGATTTGTATCGGTCTAAAGTTATCGGCCAATGAAGGGCTGATATGCCGATACACCGATATACCTGAAAAAGGCTGATACGCCGATATACCGATATGCCATATCGGTATCGGTCGATCCCTGTTTCAAATTTTTTCTTGCAATGATGATATCTTTAAAATATTGAAATTTGGTTGAAATTTACAGGGGCCTATTTTCAATGTAAATTGTGCCTCCTTCTTTCACCAATTTTTGAGACGCGACAACTTTTTGATAAATTAACAGAAAAAAATATGCGGTTTTCACCATTTGTGAAAGCGATTCCTTGTTAATCATCTGCTTTAGACAAAAAAATATAGAATTTGAGTGTTTTTTTTTTATACAGGGTGATATAGGAAGTGCAGTCAAAATTCAAAATTTTTGTTGCCACCCCATTTCTACAATTATTTTTATTTATTTTTTCTAGGCATACCCGAATGATTATCATGTTCATCCCTCGAACCGTTTTCGGATTTTTTCCTATATCTTTTTTTGTTTATAAAATAAGAAAAAGGCATCATCCATTTTTATCCAAGAGACCAAAGGCAAGATTTTTGAAGATAACAAAAACAAAGTCACAGTCTCATAATTTATTTGATTAGC